AATTTAACAAGCACCCAGTGAATCTGAAAAAGCAATCTTTAGCTCATTCCTCATCAATTCAAGATACAAATGCATAATCATGTAAACCCGCATAATAATTCAAAAAATAATAATTTGAAACTGGATTCGTAAAATTTACCTCGAGACTGGATTCGTAAAATTCGAACTGCCCATCAATCCTCAATTCCAGATAATCCCAGCGTTTCACAGATAAATTCGAACTGCCCATCAATCCATTCGATTCGTAAGCTCGTTTGGCCACTGTACAGATCCCTCGACCGCTCTCGTAACGATTCTTCAGACGAAAGATGGAATAGTCTGAAAGGGTTTGAGCGTGGATAGTGGGAAAGATTTAAGCACCCTCAATCACTCGTCAACAGCATCCTCTTCTTCCTCGGCACTTCCAAAAATGGCAGTGGAAGCTTTGGATCGTGGGTTTGTGAGATGGGAAATGGAATGGAAATGGAATAGGAGAGAGAGAGAGAGAGAGAGAGAGAGAGAGAGAGAGAGAGAGAGAGAAGGCGAGACCGTTTCCCGTGTTTTCCAAAAATACCGTGTTTTCACTTCAAAATTTCCAAAACGTTCCAAAACGTGGTTTTGGCCATTTTGTGTTTTTAGTACAAACATTTTTTTCATTTTCCAAAACGAGTTTTCGAAAATGGAAAAGAGAACGCGTTTTCATTGTTTTGGAAAACTGAAAATAGAAAACGGCCCGAAAACGACAAAGAGAACGGGGCCTAAGGGTCTGTTCTCTTTGCTGTTTTCAGACCATTTTCTATTTTCAATTTTCGAAAACACTGAAAACACATTCATTTACCTATTTTCAGAAACGAATTTTCAAAAACGAGTTTGAAATTTGCAAAAAAAAAAGGGAAAACGCAAAAAAAGTCATTTTGGCTATTTTCACTTAAAACTAAGCATAATTCGTTAATATTGTAACTGTTGTTTTCAACTAGATGGAGGAGGCATCGGCCCCGAAGTGTCATGTCCGAAGAATGAGAAGTTCCCTCAGGTTGTGATGTCATGGAGGCGGCCAGGCGGGTAAGTTTTGTATTGGAGAAGTTATACTATGTTGAATTTTCTTTATATACTGTAAGAATGTTGAGTTGAATACTAATGTTGAATATCTTCTCATGATTTAAATGCAGATGGTACAACAACGTTGGATGATGCCATGGAGGAAACAACACTACCCACTTTTAATGCCGTGGTCCAACATGAAGGT